ACCAGGGAAGTGTCCAGAAGTGTCAGTTCAACATCCGCCACATCTCCCCTCCTCTCTCTGTCTTACTCTGGCCCTCCCAAGCCATCCAACTATTGTTGTGCTGGAAGTCCCTGAGTTTTGACAGCTGTGCTTGGAGTGCAGTGACGGCAGTCCAGAGGGAAGGGTGTGTATGTCTGGCTGTGTGTTGTCGGATGGTTTGTAGTGGATGTGGACACTTTGGTGTGTCGCGTCTCTGTATGCAAATATTTTGTATGTGTGTGTGACTCTACAAGTTAAGCCTTTAGGTTGAGTATGTGTGTGTGACAATGATAAAGACAAATACATGTGATTTATGCAGCACATTGTGAACCCATAATGCATCTTAATGTGCTTTATTAGTGGTCATTTGACATGTGACTGTACAGACAAGAAAGGAACACATGATAAAGCTCTTTGTGGCTCTGTGAGGCTGCATAAGGAGCAAAGTAGGGATTCTGCCACAACCTAAGTGTTGAGTTGACCTCTTTAGGGCACATTTGGCACAGCAGTGCTTTGAGCTAAATGCTAACATCAGCATGCTAACAAGCTCACAATGACAATTCTAACATGCTGATGTTAAGCAGGTATACTATTTACCATGTTAATCATTTTAGTTTAGCGTGTTAGAACATTTTGTAATTAGCAACAAATACAAAGTGAATACAACTGAAGCTGATGGGAATGTTGGACAAATGACAATGAGACCAGATGACGACACTACATGGGAAGTGAAGGGATCTCCAAAGTTTTTTCTATTCATCTCAAGTTTAATGCCAATAAATCCAGTAGTTGTTGAGAAGTCTCACTAAAAACACAAATATCAACCTCACTGCTGGAGGAAAATCAGAGAATCACCAAAGTCAGCTGGATACATTGTCTGAGAACCATGAATGTGATCAGTTCATCCAGTGGAAGTTGATTATATAACTTTGAGTTGCTGGTGGTTCGAAATAAAATTTCAGGTGATCATAAAAGTCATCAGGGTTCATCCTCTGGGGACTATGGAAACCAGAGTACCACATTTGAATGAAAATTGCGTAGTTGTTAAGACATTTCAGCAAAAAAAAACACAAAAAAAAACAAAAGGCAACCTCATGGTGGAGCTGGAGGAAAAGTCAAGTAATCACGAAAATCAGCAGGATTCATCCTCTGGGAACGATGGACGTCTGTACAAAATTCCATGCCAATCCATTTGACAGTTGTTAAGATACATCAGTCTGGACCAAATTGGTACTGTTGACTGACTGACCAACAGACGGACCAACACTGCTATCCCAGAGCCACGCTCTATAAAGCGGTGAGCGCGAGCAGCTTACTGTGCATGCTCAATAAATGTAGCCTACTGTGTGTGTACTTGAGTGTATGGATTCATGTGCACATTCATGTTTCTGTATGGACATACATAATGCTTTTCACATGACTGATTTGGCTAACTTTTCAATACCGCGCCTTAAAAAAAAAAGCTGTGCAAGGATCCCATTTACTTAATGATGTTGCAGCTGGCATACATTTTGTCCTGACCGGTGTAGCTCAGGGAGGCGAGCTTGGGAATAAAGCAAGAATGTGTAGTGGGTGCGAGGCAGCTGGTGGCTGAGCCCCGCTGGGTCGCAGGAAGCGAGGCCAGGCCAGCCGCATGAGCCTCAGCTGATTCACACACCCAATGACATGCATACGCAGCCCAACCTGCTCGCCAGCACGTCCCTACTGTACGAACAGAGGGCCAAAACAGGCTGTGTCTAAAAGAGATGTTGCTGCATGATAACCATTGTTAAGCACAGAGCCAAATGCAAAAGTCATATTAGCTTGATGCTGATTAGAAAAGACATGTTGTTAATCATCTTCAAGCCCGATAGCTTTTTCGCCCGCCCGGCAAGCTGCACACTCTTCTGCAAAATTAGGAATAATCACTAGGGTTAACAGAGTTCTCCCTGTTTCCTCCCAAAAGCAACTGTTGACCACAAGTTAATGTAGCTGGCTCTGAACTTAAAACTAATAAGGCAATTGTAGATTGTTGAGCTCTTAGTTCTTTCCAGCAAAGCCAGGAGTTATTATTTCTTACTGTAACTGACTCAACACCAATTAGCATCAAAATGACCAGCAGTATTACGGTAATGACATGGCAAACACTCATATCAGACTTATCGCTCTGCCCATAGCGGTAACACCATAAAATACTTACACGTCCAAGGGCCACAGAGCATTTATAGCGGCCACTTTTCCTCCTGTTTGCTCTCCAAACAAGGAACCTTACCAGCTGAGGGGGAAATGCAGGAATATTTCAGGAAGAATGACTCGCACCAACACTTCCTCCTCATGACTCCTTGTTAAATGCAGGAGGGGTTACATAACTACCACGTTGGATTCAGATGAGTGTAGATTTGTTGTGAACACCAGTCATATAACGTTTAGCCTTTAGAGTGACATCCTCAGGACCAGGCTGACCTACAGTCACCCTCTCAGATGAAAGGCAGGGTAAAGTCCTAGTTTTAGGCCCCTGCCGTGTTAGGGTTTCTTTTGGATCCTTCCCTGTCGTTTCTGGGACAGACAGAACATGTGGTGAGTTTTTCTCCCCCCCCCCCCCCCCAAGCTTGTCTAAGAAGCTCATGAAAGCACAGGACTTCCTGCGGTCATTTTATGACACGGCACGCATTGTCATCAGCTGAGTCACATAAACACTCCCTGACAAGTCAGCTAAAGAAGCTCTGCTTATTTTATCATCAGCACTCAATTCCTCATTGAGTTCCACATTGAGGTTTTTTTTATGCACCTGAAAGACTGTTGAAGAAAATTTAAATCATATGTGTACAGACGAGGGGGAAAATGGATTATCTAATTGAAGGACATAAAACATACACTTGATGCAACATATGCCCCTTAGATGAGTCCAATCTTGTATGAGACATTTGCTAAGTAGTACAAGTAGTCAGTAGTTTGAGTGGCCTCGTGTATCAGATTCCACTTTGTCACCTGCTCCGTGACGCCCTCAACTGGTTACAAGCAGAACTCCCTGCTCCGCAAACCACAACTTCCTGCAGCTTTTACTGGCACTCATGCTGAAATATAAACACAACAAATAAATCATTTCTTAGTGTGCGTTCACTTTAACAAAGAGAAAAATAAACAACAATTCCAGCATGAGCACAACGGGTACTGCAAGAAACATTTTAACAAGAGCATGAAATTAGAGCACATGTGAGTCACAAAATACAAATTACTGGGGATTTAACCAGCTGAAAGATATTTCCCTATAAAAGCATAAAGGTCAACTTGTTGTTTTCTGATAGTCTGCTTCTCGTTGAAGAATGTTTACAGTAATTGCTGCTTCATAATTGGTGGGAATGCTATGTTATGTTACTTAAACCAATAAAATAGTCCATTAAAATGCCATACTTGGGCAAATTCAGCTGGTGTATTGAAAGTTGACTTGTACATGAGTGCAATTAAAAAATGAGGAAACATTAAAGTGCAGCGTTAGACAGGCTTTCGAGACACCTCGGCTGCGTTCACACCAGTATGTGTTGGGTTATTAATAGTTGCTATGATACCAACATCCTCTCTCCCCACTTCTTTGTCAGAGCGTCCTGTGATTTAGGGCACTCTATAAACCCTACTGGGCCAGCCTTCTGTCCTTTTCTGGTTGCCGTTATTGTTGCGGAGCACAGGCCACGGTGTTTGGCTGCTCCAGCTGAGAAGAGAGCACCTACTGGGCTTTTCCCATGATGATGAGAGCCGCTCCGCTCGGCCCAGTCAGCGGGCAGTGGATAAGGGCCCCCGAGCTGCTCCCACCTCCACTCTCTCCCCTTCCCTGAGGCCCCCCGAGCCTCCCCCCCTCCCTCCCTCTTTCCCTCCCTCCTTCCTCTAAGTCCCCTCAAGTCATGATCTGGCCCGTAAATTAGTACCGGGAGAGAAATATAGGTTCTGTAAGATGAAACTGGGTTTCCGTGTGTATCAGCACACGACTCAGGGGAGACAAGAGAGAAGAAGCAGGCAGTAAATCCATTGGAGTCCACTGATAGCGCCTGTTTGCACAGCCACTGCCGCTTCCTTTGATCAAATGGCTGGGGGAGCGGGGGGTCGTGTGGCGCTGCCGAAGGTCAGCTATATATTACACTCCTAAAAGTGATTACTGAAATTCTTAAGTGAAACCATTCTGCTGCCAGGGTGTGCTCTAATCCCCTGCAGCGTTGTCTGGGCCGGAGCTGGGGCCGGGGCCTCTCTGTGGATCTGTGCGCCCAGCACTCCTTTTCCCCTTCCCCACTTGTGTTTTCTATCATCAGAGCAGGCCTAAAAAGAGCCCCTACATGGAAACATGGCCTATCCAGTTGCAATATCAACTGCTGGGGCACGGAGGAAAGAGAGAGAGAAAGAGAGAGAAGAGAGGGGAAAGGTAGTGTCAAGAAACAGAAATATGCGCACACTTCAAAGGCTGGGGCAGCAAATTAAGGGATCGGCATTGGACACGACAGTAAGTGGCCTTTACATCAGAAACAGGGTAAACAATGTCTGGATTGTGTTTCGCTTCTTCTTCCTCTGTGTTGTTGCATAGAGACCCCCCGGCTCTCCATCTGCCCGCTGGCTGTGCTGTAGGTAGAGCACTAAAACAGCTCAATGAAGATTTTTCTTTTTCTTTTTTTACATCTGGCAAATCATTTTCATCAATTGAGCCACGATGAAACGTTTCGTATCTGTGCCACCGACATGTGGAAATGAGTGGAAAATTTGACTTAATTGAATGTTTATGAGAGTATTTAATATAATAAAATCCCACAATTTATGACTGGTAGCTAATCCTTGCCACAATGCTGCACAGTCTGTATCAAATCAATTACAAGCACTTACAAAACAGAAGTACTGCTTTTACAAACAAGCTTCAGGTGAGAAAACTGTGTGTGTGTGTGTGTGTGTGTGTGTGTGTGTGTGTGTGTGTGTGT